GTGTGTGTGTGTGTGTGTGTGTGTGTGTGTGTGTGTGTGTGTGTGTGTGTGTGTGTGTGTGTGTGCATCTACACAACAGATTTTGAGATTTGCACAATTACTTGAGTAAAGAGGATTAAAAGGAAGCACTGATCTTCCAACACAAACATTGCTGGAGTTTTGAAAGATTCTAGCAACGGCAGAATAATTGCACACTGAATGACAGCATTTCACTCGAGTAGTTTCTGGATCTCTTTTGCTGTTAACAAGGCAGGTATTCAGGGAAGAACAAGAATCAATGGCAAATACCTATTTGGAATCAGAGGCAACATTGTTCAGAGAACATATGGTTCAAATCAGGGAAAAACTGACCAAAGTGGAGCATCACAGTAAAATTGCATTTTTAAAAATTATAAAATGCAACTTGAAAGAAGCCTACTGAGTATTAGTTTTCAGGAACCACCACTTTTAACAGTTTTTTTTCTTTCTATTTATCATGATAACACTGTGCCAAGCTTCAGGGGATTGCACCAAGCATGTTACAGTCGTGCCCACTAAGATTTTAACTGTGCTTTGAAATTAAACTTAATCAAAACAGCCGGTGTACAAATTGTGTTATGGTTGCATGTGTACTAAAGATAAAAATTTTATGATTATTATGTGTTAATAAACCCCCCACTGCCTGACTAACATTCAGATTTTGTCTCATTGCAGCAAATGTAATTTTAGACAGCACCTGTAATCTGTTGTTGTAACAAATTCTGATACAGATACAGATTCTTCGTATACCTGAATAGTGGTCATGCCTGTGTCAAGGCCCACTAGTATCTTCTTGTCCAATAGCTGTGCAACCTGTGCATTCTCTACTTTGAGGAAGTCCCAAACAAGCTCCGTAATGTCCACCTGCCAATCGGTGCCCAGCATGTAGCTGGTCTGGCCTCGAGGATCAGCTGACTCGGCTATAAAATGAGTCAGGACTTTGACCATGGCATGCTGGTACTGCAGAGTGCAGCTTCGCCCTCGCCTGTCTTCGTCGTCTTCATCCTCGCTGTCCCGTGTCGACCTGTTTAAAAAGAAAGAAAGAAAATAAAAAATAAAACAGTCTGATGTGCAAAGTGGAAAGAATTTCTTTTCTTAGCAGTGAGAGTGGCATGCCTTTAGAGACAGCAGTGTTGGCTGTTTTACAGACTAAAAGAAAAAAATATTGGATAAGCTGCCATGAAATTTGGTACAATTGAGGCTGAAACAGGATTTCTTGCAGAACTTTGCCTACATCCAAAATGCACTGACAAGTGCATTTAGCAACATGTGTTGCTAATTTGTTACTTTTGTATCTGGTGCTTAACATTATATGAGCTATGCATATGCATGCTACAGTTGTTATGCATGCTCATTGTGTGTTATCTTGATTAAAACATTACACAGTACAGTAAATCAGAGTTATATGTCATATAACTTTGATTTACTGTACTGTGTAATGTTTTAATCAAGATAACACACAATGAGCATGCATAACAACTGTAGCATGCATAATGATGTTAAAAAACAAAACGCTGCTGCGTACTTTGTGTTTATCGGTATCAACAATCTAGAAAAGGCACAATTTAAAACACTCATTTTGTACTGATGTATGGTTTGTGGTATTTTGAGTAGCATTTTAAATTGGAGTAAACAACAAACACACAGACGGGTGTAACTCATACCGGGATGTTCACCTGACAAAACTCAAGCTATGATGCAATGTTGTTGATTAAACCAGTAAGAGGGGGATCAATCCAGCGAATGGCCATCAGTTCTCTGTCTAAATGTCTCTCCTTTACTATTTTGGAGCACCCGGCCTGGATTGTAAATGTGCATACACCTCCTTACGGCTTTACTTAATAGCCTCCCAGATCGCTCTGTTGCAAGAAAATCTAATTTTATTACTTTCGGTAACAAATCAGCCAACAGAGGCACAACTATCTCTCACTAGGAAAATTGCTTTGAGTGTGACAAACTAGGTTTAAATGGTTACAATACAGCCGCAATATCATTAGTTTACTTACAACTGTATTTTTTTTTACATTTTTGCATTAACAAACACCTTTGAAGAAAACAATCAGCCTTGAATGTTGACAAAGCATTGTTTGAATGGTTATTCTGGGGAAATAAATGCTGTTACAGCTCTTCAGGCTTGCACGGTTGGGATTCTTCCAAAGGAAAAAAAAAAGCACTTTGTCAAAACAACTACTAATCATATATCTTACTGTACAGACTTGCGCCTTCCTTTTCATCTAATCATCTTCATTTGTTCCTGTGTCGCTATTTCTCTCTCTCACACACATAAACTCTAGTAAAGGTTGCAATCATGATAAAGGGGAGAAAAAAAACGAAATTAATCTCTTAAACTCTTTTTCTTGCGATTATCCGCTCTGCTTGTCTCTTTCTGTCTGAATCCCCTGAGAAATCGGACTGCATGCGAAGCTGTGGGAATAAAGATGTCAGCTGCATTCTCCAGAGGAAAGCCAAGGGTAGAGAGAGATTTGAAGATAAGGGCTTAAAAGCTTTGCTGGAGGGACTGATTTCATATTCGCAAGTGAAAGACCGCCTTTATTACTGTGGAGTCAATATTGTAACACTGAAAAGAAACAATTTGTCCAGCTAAGTCACAGCATACAGTTATGAAAAGTACATTTGCAATTTCACTGCATTTTGGTTTTCAAATACAATTTTTTTACATGATGTGCCCTGTGTAGGTAAGTATTGTGTATACAAGTGCTACAAGGTAACACATAATCACATTGCATTTTTAATTAACACAGTATTGTAAAGGTTTACTGCATTTTATACATATCTCCGTACAATTCTTCAATTTTTCTATACATATTCTGTGCATTGTTACCTGTATATACAAACTTCGGTTGCTTATGTTTATGGGACCACCTTGTGTCTTCCTTTTATATTTTATTTTCCCTTGCTGTAAGAGCTCTGTAACACCAAAATTTCTCATCCGTGGGATAATAAAGGTTTATTCTATTCTATTCTATTCTGTTCTATTAACTTGAAGAATCACATTAAAGTTATGGTTATCTCACTGTCATGTCAGGTATGTCCTGAAACAACTGCATTATACTGCTCACACAACATGGATGCTTTGCGTGCATCTGCACAGACAGCATGTTTACACAAAGCGAGCGAAGAACCCAGGGTGAGTGTATGCAGAGCCCAGCCCAGCAGCCGGGGCCTGCGCTTCAGCGGGTAACAAAGGCAGTAATGAGCCTCCATTTCTACCAGTACATGTTCCTACAGCAGAATCACAGTGGAGATCTCTTTAAAGTCTATTTGGGTTGATTTTAAACATTTCTTTGTGTTGTTAGGTTTGTGTTCATATCAAAACTTCAATTTAATTTAATTTAATTTTATATAGCGCCATATCACAAAAACAGTTGTCTCAGGGTGCAAACACAAAAACAAAGATTTCTTATGTGTCCTCATTAAATGTCAGCGTGTGGGACATAAGCTCAAGGTCTGTATTATCAGCTGCTAATGATGTGACAGTGATTTCAGACCTTGTTATGGAGTAATATAAAAGTAATGCAAGGAGGTTTAAAACGAAATGTAATACATTACTACATGTCTTTACTATTTTTTGAAGTTAGTTGTTATATTTGTCTTTTATGTGAATTCCAGGCTTTGTTAACGGGTTCTTGGAGATTGCAAAATAAGTGCCTAAAAAGCACTTTGGGTGACTGTCAGCTGTTTTGAAAATGCGCCATATAAATAATTCACTTGATTTGGCTTTTTTTTTATTTGAATAATGTCTCCAACACTGCTGAAAGTCTGGTGACCTGTCCAGGATACACCCTGCCATTCGCACAGTGACAGCTGATCCTAAGGTAAACTAGTTTCAGGTGATGGGCTAGACTTAAAAAAAAGAAAGACAGAAAAAAAAAAGATTGTCTGGTTCAGGAACACTACGCCCCACCTTAAAACTAAGGTTGTGGTAGAGCAGGGTTGGGCAACTCCAGGCCTCGAGGGCCGGTGTCCCGTTACTATGGATCCAGCGGACTCAGCTCTGCAACCCACCCCTCCTCCAGAAGCCGTGTTGGAGCGACACGAGCAGATGCTACAACACATTAACCATCAGTTGCTCGCACTCACTCAGGCTCTCGCTCAGCACATTCCGCTGCCAGGTCCCGCTATGCCCCCCTCGTCTGCTCCCGCACAGCCGCCAGCCCCGGAACTCTCCACGCCACCAGCCCCCGCTTCCGCGGAACCCCCGGAACGAGCTTTACCGTCACCGGAGCCATTCGCTGGTGAGTTCCACAAGTGTGCTGGTTTCCTAACACAGATTACGTTGCAGTTTAGGCAGCTGCGGCGAACGTATGAGAGTGATGGAGCTAAGATAGCCTTTTTCGTTCAGTTACTCCGCGGTCAAGCCTTGAACTGGGCTCAAGCTGTGTTACGAACTAGCCCGGAGATTACCTATGCTGATTTTCTCTCGAAGTTCAAAAGTGTGTTCGAAAGGGGCACCGGAGCTGAGGCAGCGGGCCACCGTTTGCTGAACTTAAAACAAGGAAGACGGTGTATGGCGGACTTCTCTGTGGAGTTTTGGACACTGGCTGAGGAGACTGGATGGGGGCAGCCTGCGCTGATAAGTACCTTATTGAACAATGTTTGTGATGAACTTAAGGGCGAACTGTTAATGAGGGAGCTGCCCAAGACTCTGTCGGAAGTGATCACCTTATGTGTTAAGGTTGATGAACATTTGAGGGTGCGTCGCCGCGCCAGCAAGTATGGTTCCCAGAGGCCTCTGGGGCGAGCGGAGTCAACTTCTGGTGGAAGCGGAGGTAGCGATCGGGAAGTGGACCGCGGCGACGAACTGGAGCAACCCATGCAGATCGGACGCTCCCAAGTCTCCCCGGAGGAGAGGGCGCGCAGATGGCAGTCCGGTGAGTGCTTTTACTGCGGCCGCAAGGGCCATCTCGCCAAGGTCTGTCCTGCTCGGCCAAAAGACCCCGCCCGCCGGTAGAAAGGAGGATACGGGTGGGCGAGGTCTCCTTCTCACATTCTCCTCCATGCTTCATGCTAGCCGCTAAAGTGACTGTCCACTCTGCCTCTCACTCTCTTCAGGCGCTGATTGACTCTGGGGCGGAGCAGAGCTTCATGGATGCTTCCCTGGCTCTCAAACTTAAGATTTACACACGGGCATTACCCCACTTGTTGCGGGTCACCGCTTTAAACGGTCAACGTCTTCCCGACGTAACAAATGTTACAGAACCCGTGTCCCTAACGTTGTCTGGGAATCACACTGAACTGTTGCAGTTTTACGTCTTTGAAGCCCCTCTCACGCCCCTGGTGCTAGGATTTCCATGGTTACGCCAGCATAACCCCGTGCTCGACTGGAAGGAGGAGAGGGTTCAGGGGTGGGGGGAGGAGTGTCACATGACCTGTTTGACAGCAGCTACTCCCGTTACAGCAGCTAACCCACTACCACACGAGCCCCCTGACCTTTCAGCTATCCCGTCAGAGTATCATGATCTCAAGCAAGTATTTTGTAAGGACCGAGCCCGCTCTCTTCCTCCTCATCGCCCGTACGACTGCAGTATTGATTTGCTCCCGGGTGCACCTCTTCCTACTAGTCGCTTATACAGTCTCTCTCAACCTGAAAGTGAATGCATGGAGAAGTATATTAATGAATCCTTGGCTGATGGACTAATTCGCCCCTCTTCATCCCCTGTGGCTGCCGGGTTCTTTTTCGTCACTAAGAAGGATAAAAGCCTTCGGCCATGTATTGATTTCCGGGGCCTCAATAACATTACTATTAAGAATAAATACCCTCTGCCACTCTTATCCTCTGCCTTTGAACTCCTGCAGGGGGCGACCGTTTTTACTAAGCTCGATCTGCAGAATGCTTACCACTTAGTCAGGATGAGAGAGGGTGATGAGTGGAAAATGGCCTTCAACACGCACCTGGGCCATTTTGAATACTTGGTCATGCCGTTTGGACTGACTAATGCTCCAGCTGTCTTTCAGGGTCTAGTCAATGATGTTCTCCGAGATTTCATCGATCGTTTTGTGTTT